CAGGTGCTCTGATCTGGGGGGTTCTGACTGGTCATTGAGTGTGTATATACTGTAAAGCAAGCACAAAAAGTAGTAAGGATGTAAATTTGTATTTAGTAGATTATTTATTTGTTACTGTTGTTTTAACAATGCTTCTTATACATTGTATACCGTTGGAAACCTAATAATTTCACTTTTAAATCGTGCCAATTTGTAAAGAACACGCATTTTTGGGAGGAGCAGTAGACCCGAGCATGTGGGTTGTGCACATAAAAATATTGGCCAAATCTCCTGTGCTATTTCCTGTTGATATTGACACTTGTTTTGAGCTTCTGGAACCCCCAAGTGGTGCTAATCAGGTGCACGGTATAACCCCTAATTTACATGCAGTTCCGGTTCACCGCCGTTCGTTTGCACCCAGATTTATACAGCGTCCAGTCATAGATGCCAGCACGGTCTAGAGCTCCGAGAAGCGTGTGCAGGAAATGCCAGATAAATGTGAAAGTGGAAGATGGACTCCAAACAGTTGAAACTGTATCGCTGTCATCTCTTTGAAACTTCTGATTTCAAAATAAAATCCACGTGTATCATGTGTGTAATCATATGCTGCTTGCTACACGTTGCCATCAGCTTCCCAAACAAAATGATACATTTTGACACCATTTGTGTATATATCCATATATATATATATATAGCTAGAATTTCAACAAAAAATTAGTGGGTCTTTTGTGAATTATTTTGAAAATATGAATGTTGTGCTCGTTCTTTTTCCTGTTGGTGCGACATGACCTTTTTAGAAYGACTCCCGTGTCCAGCAGAAATAGGATTGAATCTAATTTTGGCGGATTGTTGTCCGCTCACCGCTGTCCTGCGCCGCTGTGCGGAGCCAATGTAAATACTTTTATTGATTATTATGATGGTGTATTTGCTGTGGAGGTTGGACCGAAGCGGAGTGGAACTTCATGTAGTGTAAATTAGGGGTAAGATTTATTGCCAAGTGACATTGTTACAACAAAAAGTAATCTACCAATATCCTATGCTAAGTRTATAAATCAGGGATGAAAAAATGTGCATACCTTTACAAAAAAATGCCACAAAAAGAGTAACAGAGGGGGGAAAATAATATTAACCAGAATATAATTTTTACAGATTTTTACCAAAATGTTAAAATGTTAATAATAAAGTTTTACTCTGTGCCTTTTTAGCTTCTAGTTTAAACCTTTTACCATTTCAGACTGTAGTTGAGGAACCACAACTGTAAATGCYACAAAAATAGAAATCTAAAAACAGTTTGTCCTCCTTATTGTGGACAGACTCTGCAGAAGTTGTTTGTATTTCTTACACATGACTTGTCTATATTTATGAATGCTTTCGCTTTGTCTCAAGAGGGCTAATATTTTCAGGTTTTTTCTCAAAATAGTTTGCTGGTGTAAAAAAAAGCTCACATACTGTACACTCTAATTCTGTTATGAGTGTTGACATAAAACAGATGTCAGATTTAAAGCCATGGCTTCTCTCAGTTTCACTAATATGAATAGAACACCTCAGCACCCACAGTCACCGTTTGACTCTTTGCTGAGTTCATATAGTTGCATGCTTTTTTCAGAAAATGTGGAAAATTAGAAACATACTGTATTTACAGTATTTACATACTGCTTTAAAATCCCAGTTTTTTTTCTTTGCTTCCTTTTTATTTGCATTCTGTGCATTTCTTCTATGTGTTTGTTTTCAAAGGCAAACTAACCTACGCAAAGCCCTATAAATAACTGTTTTACTGTACGTAATCTYAGTGATTAATTTATAATGTGTGCAATGAATGCCAGGCCTTTTTGCTGAGATCATTCAGAATATAACTGCTTACACTCACACAAGCTGCACCTTGGGGACTGATATGCACTCAAGAAATGAGTACTTATTTAGTCTATAAAAAATGTGCTTTGAATTACATCCACTGGGCCTCATGCAAGAACCGTTCGTACGCACAGATTTGTTCTTAAGTTGTGCNTTGAGCCTTGTAAAGATAAACCAAGCAGGATCCAAGAAGAGCTGATCAGGTGGATGCTTCATGCTTCAGAGCATCAAGTTGTTTATTCTGTTGTCTTTCTCTGTCTCACTCTCCTCTGTGTGACAGGTTCATTTCCCTTCCCAATGGGGTGCTTCAGATTCTGGAGGTGGCCAAAGAAGACGAGGGTGTCTACCGCTGTGTTGCATCCAATTCTGCCAGGAAGGACATCAGTGATGAAGCCAGGCTCATTGTCACAACAGGTGAGGTYTGCTCCTGAGCTTTATAATCTGTGAAAAGGCGTTACCACTAGAAGCTGCCAGCTCATTGTCTGAAGCTTGTTTTATTTCCCCTTCAGAATGTGTCTCAAAAACCTGTTGGTCAGTTTTGCTACAAACTGTCGATACAGCTTTGCAGGTCTCAATGAACAATGACTAATTTGAAATGATTCATGAGCTAAAAGCCAAATTGCCTGTATGAACAGTGTCTGATAGGATTATGGTGAGTGGGGTTGGATAAAGAACCCCTATGAGCGGGGGCCTCGTAAGTGGGCCCATTGCTCTCCCCAAAAAGACACTGAGCATTAAACCTCCACGATCCTTGGACAAAGGACACCAGGTTAGAAACAATTAGTGTTCTGAGCTTCTCTGGATCAATAAAAGTTTCCCTAAGGATTATTTTCCTTTGACTGCTCAGAGCCAGTCAGTGKTCTTAGTGTAAAGAGGTCACTAATTCAATTCCACAGGCATCACACAGACCATTGTCATGGAGTCCCATCACYRTTTTGTTGCAGTTGAGCAGGTTGTGCCCAGTTAGGACTGCAACCAGTGTACATAAAGTTTTGTCAGGGTGATGAAAGCATTCCCAAACCTAAGATTTGGGCCATTTATCAGTTYCCGTTCCTGTCTACAGTCTGTCACTTCCCYCCAATGAACTGAGTGTTGACATCTAATCCAGGCCTGCAGGGCAGTCCTGCAGACTGTTGTTCAAATACCTACATTAGGCTCTGGTGCATTAAAGTGGGCCTGACTGCCACCTTTTCACATCTGATATACACTATGTTATCTAGTAAAAAGTTTTTTTTATTTATTTTGTAAAGCAGAATCTTGAACTTTATGTAATATACTATATATTTTGTAAATACTCTCTTTACATTCATGCTGGTTGTCCTTCAGACTGAATATGTCTCAGACTCTACAGTATCTAGATATTTTTTTTCTCTGTTTGTTGACAAAAGTGAACTTCCATAAGGCCCCTGACATTAGGCTTACAGTCTGATTTTTCTTTTCAGTCAGTGGTGCTGAGTTCTTCTAGTCGTTTTTCTATTAGTGCTCATTCTTTGAGGTTTATTCACTGACTGAACTCACTGATTAAATATAACTCAGACAAATTCAAAGTTATAATACAAAGGAAAATCAATTGTCAATCCAAGCTACAGAAAACAGTCTCTAATACCTGAAGCTACAAATGAAAATCTAATTAACTAATCTAAAAATCTATGTCAAATGAATCGTCTCAGTACACAATATCAAACATTGCCAAACTTTGACAGAAGGGATATTTGTGAACCTAAATTGTGTTTGATTGTTTTCATTTTAACTAATTTCTTTTTCTTTTTTTATTAAAATATTTAGGTCAGTAAACTGTACGGGCCAGTTTCGCAGTCAGGGCTTAAATAAAACCAGGACTAAACTAATCTGGTATAACTTAATCCACACTAATACAACTGCTTTCTGAGTCGTTGTTTAACTTCAGGTTAACTAGTTCCAGACTACAGAGTCTCTGACTAAAGGCTGAGTCACACTACAAGACTTTAACACTAGAACTACCCGAGAGGGGCCAAGTGAGAATCTTCCTCTAAGTACCAGAGAGGGGCCAAGTGGCTCCCCCCCATAGAACTACCAGAGAGGGGCCATGTGGACCCTTCTTGAGAGGGTGTGAAAAGGCGCTTTTGTTCTGTAAATAAGGCCATTACTGACCCACCACAATAGGGGGGCGCAAAGGTGAAC